GACTGTAAAGCTCAGGTCCTGGAGGAACCTGTTGTCTATCTATGAGCTCAGTTTTCTGGCCCGAAGATGACAAGAATCTGTGCCCATGTAAAGGACCTGCTCTTTCAGGAAACCTCCCCAAGGCCAACTCCTACTGTGATATAAGAGATGATTACTGACAAGGTGAAGGTGACTCAGTCTGTGACACAAGGAAGCAACCAATTTAAAGCTTAACAAATGTAAAATGATGAAAGTTTTAACTTGAGAGAGCCTGAACAGGAGAGGATATTATGTGCACATAAGAAGAGTAGGATGAGGCTGGAGATACAGCTCAGTGGTATAAGCGCCTGCCTGGCAAGTACAAGGTCATGAGTTCGATCCCCGGTACCACAAAAAAAAAAAAAAAAGTAGGACAGGTATATAGGGACAGGGGTCTCCATAGGTGGGACAAAGATAGGATGAAGGCCTCATGGAGCTTCATTAATAATTAATGACGGTTTTGACCTCTGCAGACAGACTCTAGTAATTAGAAGGGCAAAGCAGCTAGACTCTGAGGATTTCAAGACAGCGAAACACAAGCAATTAGGAAGACAAAGGCAAAGAACTCAGGACCTGGAAGTTCCCTGTAAAGTTATTAACACAAGAATCACAAACTTTCCTTTTTATTTAATACTTAAGCCTAAAAAACCTGTCTTTAAGTCCCCACCCATAATTTTACCCTCTACCAAAGGACAGAGAAAGGTTGCCTGGCCGGAAGAAATCCAAGGTTAAAATGAAAGACACCGCCTGTAATCCCAGCACTGCAAAGCCTGAGGCAGGAGGATCACCTTGAGTTCGAGGCCAGCCTGGGCCACAAAGTGAATTGAAGGCCAGGCTGTCTCAAAAAAAAAGAAAAAGAAAGAAAGAAAGACCAGCCAGGGAGCCAATCCGATTCCAGGAGACTACATGGGAAGTAGATACCTCATAAAAAAGAGCTGGTATCCAGGGCCCAGGAGCAACTCACTTTCTAGTTCTGCCTACCCATTCTGCATAGCTGTCTGTTGCTTCTCTTTTCCTCTTTCCCCATCTTTAAATGAATTGTCTTATTTTACTTTAAACCCAGCCTCTTTCATTCTTTACTGACACCGAGTTTAGGAATGCGGGGACCTGCTTTTTCCAGCAAAGCTTTGGTTTGCAGCCCACACCTGGACATAACAAGTACCAACAGAAGTATCCACAGAAGAGACACGAAACAGCGTTTCTCGGACTGTGCAGGGTTTCAATCCTCACCCCATAGCTCTTTGCTCCATTCATTCGTTCATTCATTTAGCTTTTCGAGATATGGTCTCCCTCTACAGTTCAGGCTGACCTTGAACTCACTATGTAGCCCGTGATTAGCCTCAAACTCGAAGCAATCTTTCTCCTCAGCTTCCGAGTGCTGTGATTATAGGTGCGAGCCACCAGGCCTGGCCCCCTTGTCCTTACAGGTGGAACCATCTGCCTCATCAAGCCTTTGAGGCTGAATGAATCTGATCTTGGCCTATGAGCATGAGTTTCAGACCCAAAATGTCTGGGTTTAGATCCTGACTTGAGCTTTGCTGGCCCTGTGATCAAGGGCACATTGTTTAATTTTTCATTGTTTTGGTTTCCTCATCAGTAAAATGGGTATGTTGTTAGGTTTGTTTTTTTTTAATTTTTCTTTTTTTGGTATAAGGAATCAAGACTCAGGATTTCATGCTTGCCAGGCAGGCACTGTGCTACTCAGCTATAACCCTGGCCCTTTTTTTGTTTTAATGAGAAAAAAATTAAAATGAAATAGTTTCCAAAAGGTTAGTAAGACAGTTACAATAATTAATACATTGTGTACTGTTGTCTTCATAGTAGATATTCAGAGTTCAAGGTGTAGGCATGATATCTTGTCCAAACAATATTGCCGTAGGCAACTGAGTAGATAGAAATATTAGATAGAAATATTGTAGACAGTCAGACAGGACTGGGCCTTCGAGGGAGCCAGCATGAAAGACCAGATACCTTGCAGCTGTAGGAGACAGGCACTTCCTCTGTGGGCCAGACCTCAAGGCAAAAGATTAAACAAATACGCCCTCATACCTTCCTAGGGATGGACATCAGGGATTGATATTCTAAATTGGTAGCTATCACCTTGAAAAAGCCAGGAAGAGTCACTCACCCAGCCCCTTACAGGAAATGCTCCTGTTCTTTATTCATGTCTGCTTGCTATGTGACTAACTTCCCCCATTTGATCCTGATATAATCAATTTTACCTGAACAGTTATACTTATAATCTTATTGGTTGATCATAGCTTTGTCCCACTTCATGTCCAGCTTGCAATTTCCCATGTTTCCCGCCTTGGACCCACCTCACCTTGTGGATTTGCTCTATAAAAATCCCTAAAAAAGGCAGGCTCCTGGGCAACCCATTTGGATCCCCTTCTGTCTCTCTTGGACAGAAGCTTTCTTTCCTTCAGTAAATACATTCTACTCTTAACCTCTGTTGTTCCTAAAATTCATTCTTTGATTTTAGGGAACATGAACTTGTCCCAGATATCTTTCAGGTTGGGAGTTTCTTTCCCCTATATCAATATTAGCACAAACGTTTCTTGTCAATGAACTCAGAGAAACTAGCTGTGTAACTATCTCATTGTTAGGTTTAATTGAGTGAATCTATACAAATCTCCCAGCAGAGTGGCTGGCATTTAGCAAGTACTCAAGGGCAGGTAGTTCAGATAATCGTGGTCACCCTCATTACTCCAGGATCTGCCTTCTTTGCCTGTACACAGTTCTGTCTCAGTAACCTGCATACACACCTGGGCTCCACTAGCCTCAGATTTCTTCAGCCAGGTTTCTCTCCTTCCCCTCAATTGCACCTACCTCCAAATAACAGTTCAGTTGGCATCACATGAGTCCCTGCTCAGGATCATGCAGAGCCAGGACGCTCTGCCAGGGCACCTTGTTACCTCCCATTGCACTTTCTTGTGCCATTGGCTTTCTGGACACTGCAGTTTCCCTGTGGGCTCTGCTCATCCCAGGCTCCCGTGGGTGCTTTGGTGCCTCAGCACCTAACTTCCCACTGAGGGCTCCAGGCCACAGTAAGCCTCCAGCTCAGGAGGTCCCTGGGCCAGGTTCAGATACAAAGCCCTTGTTGGTGACCAATGGACATGGTCCGCACTATAACCCATCACAGGTGACGAGCTGGCTTAGTGTATGTATGTGGATGTTACGAGTGTAGGTAGAGCACTAGGCAGTAGTGAAATGTTATGCTACACCATAAGATGGAAATTTGGACACGCAAAACTGGCTAAGGGTCAGTGTATTTGGAAGATCTCAATATTGATCAGTTCTTTTATTGCATATGTGTGTATATATAGCAGAAAATTTGTGCAGTAGAAATAAACTGAAACTTGACTATGAAGTGAAACCATCTGTAACCCTACCTTAATCACAAAGAAGCATCTTAACCAGAACCTCTTCCTGGGACAGCTGGTGTTGTCGGAAGTCTGGCTGGATCCAGAGTCAGGGTGCCAGCGGGTGGGCTTCCGGAGCCCCTGCCTGGCAACTTCTCATGGATGCCAGCGGTCAGCCCACCCTGCGTGTCCTCCCACCCCTTCTCCCTGCAGGTCCCATCACGGTCTACTTCCTACAGCTTCTTGCTCCATATGGCTTGGCTTGGGCCACAGCCAGGTTCTGACCACCTTGGGGCTGGTGCCAGCAGCCTCTGCCTCTGCCCTGTTCCCTACCAAGCAGATGTTTGCCCTCCTGCCAGGTCTTATTCCTCACCATGTTCCTTCATTTTCTGGGAGATCTGGTGTCTAAAGCATACAGTAGATTTCTTTGTGAACCCTGAGGACTTTGAGATTTTATTCCAGAGACTTTCTATACACAGTGTTTTTTAATATTTAAGGAGTCAGGGTCCTTTCTCTTCCCTTCTGGTAATACACACATACACACACACACTTTCAAGTGCACACCCCCACCATTATGTTTTTAAAAGCACACAGAACGTTGTATTGTTCTTTATCCACAATATGAATTAGAGATTCTGATTTTGCTTTTATTTTTCACACCCATTTTGTCATTGTTTGTATTCCATTATTTGGTTCTGCTCTGTTTACCATTTATAAGTGAAAGAAATAAGCCAGAAAGCTGCATATTTTCTTGCTAGTGTAGTGTGTCAGAGTCACCTGGATGCATTTGATAGCATACAGATTCCTGGACTTCTTTCGGACTTCCCGAATAGTGATCTTTAGGGGAGGGACCCAGGAGTTTGGGTTTCCAGCAAGATCTCTGGGTGATTCTTTCGCATGCTGAAGTGTAGGAGCTCCTGCCTGAGAGAGTGGGCAGAATTTAGAAGAGATGGGGAGAGCGGTGAGAGAGAGCCTGGCGGCCACCTGACTCCTTAAATATGAACCTAGGCTCTGCCCTTCCTAGTTCTGTGACGCCTCTGTGCCTCTGTGTGCTCATCTGTGGATAAAACTGTGAAGCTATACTATTCACCTCAGTGGTATAATGAGAATTGACTGATACTTGTAATATGCTGAAAATAATGCCTGGCTCACAGTGACGGCCTGGGATGTGGTTGTGTGGGTATTACTTTGTGCAAGAGGAACTTGTACACGATGTCAAACTCAGATGGAACTGGAAGTCCTCTGTGAGGAAGGCGAGCGGAACCGGAAGTCCTCTGTGAGGGAGGCGAGCGGAACCGGAAGTCCTCTGTGAGGGAGGCGAGCAGACCCATCGGTCAGGATCAGAAGGTTTGAATCAGTGGCTTTCAAATAATGGAGCACATACAATGAATCCAGGGAGCATGTTAAAAATGTAGTGTCCCAAGGGATTCTAAGTCAGTAGACTTGGACCAATTCCTGGGGATCTGCATTTACAGTTTCTGATGCAAGAGGTCAGCACATTTTGAGAAACCCTGGCTTAGAAGAGGAGGACTGGCATTTGGAGTTGAAAAGTGACCTTGGATTTGCCTGGGAGTAGGTAAGGATGGCCGCTAACGCCCTCTTTCCTCTCCGCTTCATTAGGCATGCCCAGAAAGCAGTAGGAGTATCCGCGAGGTGCAGTGTGCCTCCTACAACAACAAGCCGTTCATGGGCCGGTTTTACGAGTGGGAACCGTTTGCAGAAGGTAAGCACGCACCAGCCCGGTCCGTAGGAATTGTTTTTGTCTGTTCTCTGATGGTGTTGCTCCCTGGGTCATGGGGGCGATCCTGGATGGAGCATTAATTGAGGAGAAAATGTGACACACACACATACACACACACACACACACACACACACACACACACACGCCGGCAAAGTGAACTGTGGGGATCCTCACCAACAGTCACATGGGTCGGTGAAACCTGGGGCGATCCCCAGCAGTGAGGCATGGCTTTCGAGGAATTGGGTGAAACAGGAGGTTCAGACATAAAATATGAGCAGCAAGCAGGGATGGAGGGTTTTGCTTTTCCTCCATACCTGCTACGGGGGCTGGTATGGGTGTTTAAGCACACACACAGAGGTGCAGAATTGATAATTACAGTTTTCACTTGTGGGGGACCTCCAGTACTATTTCCGAAGGTAAAGCGTAGTAGGCAGACATTTCCCGGGGTCCTTGCCATTTAAGAGACAAAAGGTCTGAACTGGATAGTTTGCCCATGCTCACCAGAGCCAGTTTCTGTTTTGCAACTCAGGTGCTAACATGGATTTTGGACTGAGAAGTGTTAGATGTGAGATGTTTCTGACACTCACAGAGAAAGTAAATTCTCTAGGGGTATTGGGCCAAGCAGAATTGTGATGCTTCTGTACGGACCAGAAGTCCTCCTCTTCGTCTTCCAGGGACCAGCTGAAGAGCTTTGCCTGGTCAACATTTCTCAGCCTCAGACCCCGGCAATGGCTAGGGCAGCTGGTGCTGGCCAAAACCCACAGCACGGAACACTGCCGCTGTGTCCAGGACCTGGAGATACTGTCTGGGAGAGGGCTTGATAGAGAGGTGTGCTGATAGTGTTGCATACTCTGCCTGGCGTGGCTAAACTGTGGAAGGAAGCACCTAAGTAGAAGCCCTTGAGGACAGGAAGGGGAGTCTGTGTCTCACTGCCCTGAAATTGGCTGCAGAATTGGTACTGTCTATGCGTTTTTCTCAGAGGAGAGTCTGTAGTTGCTGTTAGGTTCTCAGACTGGCTGTGTTAGCTCAACATTGTTAGGAATGAACTTGAATGGAAAATCAGGACCGTCAGAACCAAACAGGATAGATATACAGATGAAACATCCAGCAGATGGAGTGCAAATATGAGGGTCTGTACAAGGTTGGAGGGTCACAAGGGAAGGAAGCCGGAAAGAAAACTGTGATTCTGCGGATAGAGCTTGGCCCAGACCCTTTTCATTCTTAAAAGCATCACGTTAAGTTCAGGATGGTGTCCCAGTTGGAATCCTGGGAGAGATAGAAGCTATTGTTAGGAAACATGGTAAAATATGCATAAAGTGTATAGTTTAGTTAGTACTGTCATACCAGTGGTAATGTGTTAAGGTTTTATGTTTCCATCATGTCTTTGTAGGATGAGGGAAACCTAGGTGAAGGGTGTATAGGACCTTTCCTTACTATTGTTGCAACTCTTCTATAAATCTGAAATGGTTTCAACATAGATTTCTTTTTGGCGGGGATGGGGATCTACCTTAGTGGCATAAGCACCTGCCTGGCAAGCACAAGGTCCTGAGTTTGATTCCAGGTACCAAAAAAAAAAAACTTTCTGGCATTACTGTGGATTGAACTTAGGGCTTTTGCACTGAGTTACATCCCCAGCTCTTTTATATTTTTTATTTTGAGACAGGGTCCCTGTAAGTCCACCCAGGATGAGCTCAGACTTATGGTCCTCCTGCCTCAGGCTCCTGAGCGCTGGTATTATAGGCATGTGCTACCACACAGAAAGCTACCCCGTTTGCTAGCTACCTGCATTCTGTGGAAGACAAAGCTCTAGACCTTGTATGAGTGAGGGAAAGGACACTGGATTAAAAAGTGTCCTCCCCTTTCAAATTTACATCCTTCCTGGAACCTTAGAATATGACCTTATTTGGAAACATTGGGCCATTGTGGAAACATTGGGTCATTGTGTATGTAATGAGCTATGGAGCTGGGTGGACTCTTAATGTAGAATGACTGATATTCTTACAAAAAGAGAGGTCACAGTCAGATGAGGGCACACCGAGTGACAGTGAGGGCAGAGATTGGAGTGATGTGTGTGCAAGCCAGTTAACACTGATGGTTTCCAGAACTGTCAGGAGCTAGAAGAGGCAAGGGAAAGATCCCCAGCCATCCAGAGCCTTCAGACTGCCAACCTCCTGCTTTTGGACCAGCACCTTCAGAACTGTGAGAATAAGTCTCTGTTCTCTTAAGCCTCTGTAGTTGTGCTATTTTGTCATAGAAGCTCTAGAGGGGGAGGAGCTAGGGTGTGGATTGATGGAGATCTGTTCACATGTAACTCAGAAAGTTGAGTTGGCCTGACCAATTGGAGGAGATGCCTTAGAGAAGCTAGGCACACATCCAAAGAGGGTGACAGCCTTGTGAATCTAGCTCTACCCAAGGCACTGGTGTCAGCCCTAGATCCGATTAGAATCACACACAAAAGACACTGATACTTGGCCTCCATCCCTGGGCACTGCTAATCTGGGGTGCAGCAGGAGCCTCAGGAATTTTAAAAGATCCCAGACTATTCCAGTGGGTAGCTGGAGTTGAGAAGGGCCCATCTGGGAAGACGGCAGGATCCCAAAGATAGTACCAGCCTTAACTGGAGGACAAAATCATGGGTGTTGTAAACCAAAAGATGCAGCCTTATGTCAGAACAATACTTGCTAGTGAGTATCTGGAGAAGCCATGCTGACTTCTGTCTGGTGCTTTCTCATGAGCCGCTTTATTTTATTATGATTAGCTGTGAGGAAAAATGAATCCCCCCAGCACAGCACCCCGCTCAGTACGCTCTGTGTGTCGTTACCTCCCCAGGAGCTGAGGCTGCATCGCTGGACATTCTTGGCATGGTTGGGGAGGTCATCAGCCAGCTGCTGGCACAACACCTCCACCTGCTGAAAGACTTCATGACAGGGTAGACTGGGGCCTAATAATGGTAGCGCTATGTAGGCTGCAAAGAAAATGCTATGCTAAGGTTCTCACGTATTACAACTATCCCTGCTGGTGCCTGCTGTGGTTGCGATTCTACCTTTTCTGTTCTGTTTCCCCTCATATGTGCTGGGCTTTAAGTAAGCAACCTGAGAGAATTTATTTACTGAACATTTAATTTATTTTTGGAAAATTTCAAACATAGGTAAAAGTGGAGTGAATAACGTGTTGCTTCGTACCTGCCATTTAGTTTCAGCAGCTATCAACTCGTGGCTAATCTTTTTTATAAATACCCCCATTATGGGAAAGTATTCGAATTCATACTAGGCAGCATTATTCATTGCTGAGTGTATCACTGAGATTTCTTGGTTGTGACAGAAACTTAAGCTCAATACATTTAAACACGAAAACTGTTTTGTTGATCATGCTACTGGGAAATCAAAAGATTGGCTAGAATTGAGAGTTAGCTACAATCCAGGGAATCAGTAGTGTTACCACCCTGCCTTCATCTTTTTCTGTCTCTTGGATCTGCCTACTTCTTTCTTTAGTAGACAAGCAGGCTTACATGGTTGAATTGCATCTCTCAGAATGGTATGCTAAAGTCCCAACTACCAATCCCTGTAAATGTGAACCTTGGAAGTGTGGTCCATGCAGATATAATAAAGATGTGATTTAAGAAAAGGTCATATTGGAGTAAGGTAAGCTCTAATCTGCCATGACTGCTGTCCACAACCCCTGGGAATGAAGATAAGGCACAGAAAGACCTCCCCCAGGGACTTCAGGGTGACCATGCCCCTTCCAAGACATTAGTTTTAGAGTTTTGGGTTTTAGAACTGTGAGACAATAAATTCCTATCATGAGTCAGTTTGAGTAATGTGTCACAGCAGTGCCAGAGCACTCATATACCTAGTGACTGTGTCCATCTCAGGAAGATTGTCCTGTGGTCTTCTCTGGGTCCAGCTCCATCACCGAACCTCATTTTGAGGCAAGGGGTATTTGGGCTGGCTCAGGTCATGTGACAAATGCCTTTGTGGGGAGACCACATCCCATGAAGCAGAGATAGGGAAGTAGGCACTGAGCAGATGGAAAAACAGCTTCTTCTAGAAAAATCAGTATGTACTTCTTGACCACAAGCCACCGAGCTTTTTTAATGAGCTAATTTAAAAGCCCTGGTGTTTTACAAAGTAAAAGAAAATGCAGAATGGTCACAGATTCTCTTCTGTAATGTGCTACTAGAAAGTTGCTTTGTAAATATGTTCCCGACAGTGGTATTTCTCACATGTCCAGAAGGGAAGAAGGGGACCCACCGTCACTGGGGTTGCATTTACTTTGGCTTTGTTTAAGTAATCCTTTTGTCTGCTTAGACTGTTTTTTTGATTTTCATCTTCTTCCTCTTAAATGACTCCCAGGCTGAGCAGTGGGAAGAAGAGACTGCTAATGATTCAATGGGGCGTTCATGGTTTACGGCTGGATTTTGATCGGATTCTTGCTTTTGTGCGGATGTCTCCTGTTACGCGCATGTGCCTACTTAGGGAGACAGCTGCACTCGCTCAGCCCGGTGCCACACAGAACAGCAAAAGCAGAGAACAAGCTCTGATAAACACATTAATTTCACCAGATGGTTCTTCTTAGGCCTTTAATCACATTTCCTGGACACAGTGACCTATCCTTAGGTAATGCATCTAGGAATTTTTCTCACAGTGCTGGATTTAGTATTGTAAAGAGGAGTGGAAAGAGAATCAGGGTGCCCGTGTACCCTTGCTTACCCAGAAAGTGCCATCTCAGAACTCTTTCAAACAGCCTTGAGAGATTTTTTTTTTTTTTTTTTGGTACTGGGAATCAAACTCAGGACCTTGCCCTTGCCAGGCAGGTGCTTGTGCCGCTGAGCTATATCCTTCGCCCTCAAACAGGCTGAAACAGTGAATCATGTGGTCAGTGTAGCTATCAGACTTAGGATGCTGACCTCGGGGAATGTGATAAAGTTGTCCCCCCTCATTCATCAGCTGTACATTCCGAGACCCCCGGTGGATACCTGAGGA